TTAGTATAATATGGTTTGCTCGAAACATGAAAAAGATTCAATAATAAAAATTAACTTAAACATTATTTAGGTTGTGTGTAGAATATCTCTCTATTATTGTTTCAAATATTGTAGATTAAACTGTAAATATGTCATGACAAGTTTTTCAAACTAATTTGATTAATGATTCTATCATAGACATTTCACAAAAATGGGCAGGCAATAAAAGTTCCAAAAATTCTGTACCTGTAAAAACTAATCATCATTTTTACATGGTTTGTGAGTTCCATCATTGTAGAGAATTGAATTTCAAATAAGTTTTGTAAGTAAATGGGGAGAAATCTATATAATCAAAGAAAACCAGTTTTTTTTTTAATAAGGTATGTAATTAGGTGAAAAGCAATAATTAAATTGATTATGTTGTAGACTTGAATCAATTAATTACCATTTCATACTGTTGCAGATGAATGATTGCACCTCTTCAAGTTCTACAGAATTATTAAATGAAGGAATCTGCTTCAGAATTGCTGACTGCATGTCGCTGCAACATCTGTGCTGCTACAAAGTTTGACTGTTTAAAATATTGTAATTCTAAACTAAATTTTGAAAAATAACTTATTATATGAAGTAGTTTAACCGCAAAACTAAAAAAGAGTCACCATGTTGCAGGAAATGCACAAGCATAATAACTATATTAATGTCAATATTGATATATAGATGTGTAACCTATACATTATTTATATTATAATTTAGTGTTTTATATTAGTTTGATGTTAATATTATGACAATTTTTAGAAATATGTATTAGACTTTAATATAAAATATTCACTAACATAATAAGATTTTCTCGAAATTGGGAAATGCAGTGTATAGAAAATAAAAATATACTAAAATATAGGGAATTAAGTATCAAGTACAAAAGATAAAAAAAAATACCATTTAGTGAAAAATATGAAACAAAATTAATTTATTAAATTTGGATTTTACAAATATCATAACTTATTATATATCTTAACTTTTTTTGAACTAAGTAATAAAAAATAAACAGATTGTATACAATTTTCTTACAAGTAATTTAAATTTCAACACAGGTACTTTTCCCCAAAATGATGCCTCCTAAGCTCATTATTTTTCCTCGTTAAGGAATCTATAGGTTACACATCTATGGAGAATAGTAATAACAAAAGAGTTAAAATGCGGAATCTTTATGTTCATGATAATTTTATGAATTTATTTGAGAAGTAAAACTTAAATATTGTATTCTATTTTTACAGTACATAATATTTAACATGACTTGTACATTTGCAATGTTTTGATAGGAAAAGTTTGGATTAGGG